CCCCCCCCCCCCCCCCCCCGCGCACTCATGAGACGACGGCGAGCCAATCTTTCTGTGTAACACGCTCACATTGGTGCACAGACCACCACAACATCTTGGTGATTGTGCTGGCAGCTTTGTTTTGTATCTTGACATTCCTCGTCGTCTGACAATGTTGGGGAATTCGCGACAGGTACAGACATGATCTTTCATGGGAATCACGTAATGATTTAAAGTCAACTGAAGATGTGACAGCTTCATGACTGAGCTAAGGCAGCAAGCCATCAGCTCCATGCCCCTCCTCCCCGACCCCAATTTCTCTTTCTGCCATCTGTCTCTGCTTTCGACGTTGACGGGATCCACCTGCCGCGCGTGCTCTGCTAGCAGCCGCCACAAACAGGCAGCGGTGGCATCATCCAAGCAAGTGCCTTGAGACTCGACTGTTTGTCGAGCACGCAACAACTCACAGAGCACGAAAACAGGGTATGCCGTTCTAAAATTCTGCAGCCTGCAGAGTGTGTCCAGCTCAAAAGCAAGATACAAGGACTGCAAGGGTCGTCTGCACGGCCGCTGTCCGCTCCACAGACACAGCGCTGAATGCCTTTGGCAAGCCAGGGCTTTCCATCCGCATTGTGACAACTTCGAAGCCCAAATACATCCAAAGACGAACGAACCCACGAAGCCCAAACCTCAGCTGGCCAACACTGGCCAACCATGGCCACAACCGGCCCATCTCCGGTCCCCTCCGGTCCCCTCCGGCTCCGGCCGGCACAGCGCCAGAGACGTTGCGCCAGCCGCCGCAGTGCCGACGCCCGGCGTGGCGCCAGGCAACCGAGAAGCCGGGACGTCTGCCAAGGGAGGCCATTTGCGAAAGCTGCACACATCCAGGCATGGGTGCCGGCCTGAGGCCAAGTTACCTCTTCTGCCTCACTGTTTTCGTTGTGTTTGCCCAGGTCGAAGGAACACGCTCCTGGCCACAGGCACCGTCGTTTCTGCTCTGCTCATTGAGCCGCTCACTCCGTTGGGGACATGCACCTGACGACCCCCCCAGCCCTGCCTGCTCTGGAACAAGATGCGTGCACCATTTCGTAGATCTGGCTGACAGGGACCTGTAACGAGTATCACAGACAGCGTGGTCCAACGCGCAGGACACTTGTCGCCTCGAACATGGCGGCGCCCCCAGGAGGAATGCTGTTGCAGATGCGCTCCAGCACGAGGCAGATGTTCAGTCGGATGCACCGATACGGCATCTGCCGCCTCGACGTGACCTGCAAAGTCAGGTCGCCAGATGCGTTCGATGCAGTTCGGGCCAGAATTCCACACGTCCCCGTCTGTACCGGCCTGAGAGTCACGAGGTGTGGGAGTGCACAGGGACGGTAAGCTCTCCTCGCCAGAGATACATGAACAGAAGCAAGTTAAGAGTCTCGAGCTTCAAAACTGCTTCAACGTTGGCTCCAGGTTTCAATTTATATAGCCTGCTGCAACTTCACACCCAACTGGCGACGCCTGCGAACCGATTCGATTCGCATAAGCAGTGCTCGTCTGCTGCGCGTCCGACCCACTCGCAATGCTGGCATTGCTACCTAAGCTTGAGCTGATGCCAGTGGGCTTTGCGACTGGCTGCCGAGCCGGCAACCACACTGCTTCACTTGAAATTGATGCTTGCATTCCACAACGGCTGGAATGCATGGAAGCATGAAGTAATCCTACAAGTCCACATCTGCTTTAGTCACACCACCTATGAACTTAGGACCGGCTCCCACGCTGAGCAGGTCACTGCCACTTCGAGCGGCAACCGCATCCTGGACAGCCTTCTCCTGTTGGGCAAGGCTTGGCGGAAACGTTCCCCTGTTCGGGACATGAACCTCAATCCACAAATCCACGTGCGTCAAACAACTCATGAGCCAGCCTACGACGTATGAGCAACATGGACCACACTGCTGTATTCAACTTGTAGCATAAGTTCTATGCGGATAGTATTGATATTACTCGTACCCACGTGCTCTGAAAAGACACCAGTATACCACAGTGACGCTGGTGGTGCTAATGCTGGATGGTATAAGAACTATTCCCATTCATACACATCTACACACTTAAGAAAGTGAATATAATGCTAAGCGTACCAAAGCCAAAATGACACTAACAATACTATGCAAACTAAACATCATGCGTACAAGTATCAGTAGCAGCAGCACCACCAGCAGCAGCAGGAGCAGCAGGACTTCGATTCTTCATATGCCATTCCCAAATCCCCACCCTAAAGCAAAAAGCAGGTGCCTGCTTCATTCGTAAAAGCGGACCGAGGTCCGCCAGCAAGCAGGATTCCCCGAGGTTCTTCGCGAGATCATCGCCGGTCTGTACCTGGGAGGGAGGGAGGAACTTGGTTGAGCCCTGGCCCTGACCTGTGAGCCTGTGAGCCTTCGCCCGCCCGCTTTTGAAGTGACTGGGTAGTGCGGCCAAGGCGCCGGCGCTCGGCCTCCTCCCGAAGCCGCTGGGCACACCCGGGAAAGGAGTGGGCGCCTCACAGCTCTGGGCGGGTCGCACTGCGCGAGCGTCACTGCCAGGCCAATGGCATGATGTGAGTCCGTGACTCCAGCTGTTCCAACAAAGAAGAGCCGCAAGCAAAAAACAGCGTCACCCAGAGTTTCTGCAGCCAGAGTGCTTCAATCCCACAAATGGCGTCACTGTGAACCTACCAGTCTCAGTGAAGACGTCGTTGGGATTGCCTGCAGCCCGCACCCCTTGACTGATCGCAATCTCGTGTGCGACTGATCGCAATCTCGTGTGCAAAGGATGTGTCGCTGCTGGACAGCCGAAACAAGGGGATGGCATCCGAGGTGCTCGGTGGGGGGCTTGTGGCGGTGGTACAAGCTCCTCGGCTCCGGAAGCCCCAAGCTGATGAAATCCCCAAGCAGGTGGAAGGGTGGAAGGGGGGGGGCCCCCACTGCGACTCGAGCCAGGGCTCCGAAGAAGAAGCTCGCAGAAAGGCGGCTGGGCAGCGGAGTTCGCTGGGCCTGGGCCTGAGACCACGGTTCAGAAAGGCACGCATCCGAATGGTGCTCTGCTGCCGCTCGCAGCCCGCTAGCCTCCATCTTGAGCCTTCGCGACAGCCGTGACGAGGACTGTGTCTTTAGTCTCTGTGTCGTGGGCGTGCCCTCGCTGCCGGCCGCACATCTGCCCAGGTTTCCGGTTTGAAGCACAGGTCGAGCGCTGCCAGTCTACACAACTGCTTCACAGCTTGCACTTGCCCCCCCCCTCCCGTGGGGCTTCGCAGCCGCGAGGTTCAGCGGTGGTACGGAGGGCCTCCAGCAAAGCCGGTGGCAACTTTTCCGAACCACGGGTTCAGAGACCAGCCTGGAGCCGGTCGACTTCAGTCTGGGGAGGTCCTCGAGGTTTCCTGGGAGCTAACAGTCCCCAAGACACCGTGTGAAAGAACTTGGCCGGGTTTGGAGGAAACAAGGCACTGGTATCCGGACCGCTGTGTGGAGCTTCTCCGACAGCATCTACGTGCGAATACTGCATACGGTGAATACAGTTTTGAGAACATAGCAGAGCTTTGTCGGAAGCCTCGTGGCCAACATCAGGACTTCAGCTAGGCCAGGCAAAGGTTGCTTGTGACGCAAGGCATCCTGACTTGCGCAACACAGATAGATGCCTCATGCAAGACAACAAGAAAGGGATGTTGGGAATCATGTTGACGAACTGGCCATGAGAATCCAACACAGTGAAAACTTGCACCCAACTCGACTGCTCTGCTGCTCTACATATCTCTGCGCCTCTTTTTTCCATCGGCCACCGGACTGGCCCAGCCACATCTGGCAGGCCAGGTGTTCACACATACACTCTCAGGGCAAGCTGAAACCATGCCTACCATGCAATCTGCTTAGGTCCCGCCCTCCCACGCAGGAGTCTGCTCCGACCAGACCGCCAAAAACGAGCTAACTCAAAACCCTGCATGCCTCAACAAGTCGTGTCAGGCTCTTTCATTGGAAGCTGGAGGCAGGGTTGACGGGTCTTGGCTGTAAGCTGTCGAGAAACTTATCATGAGATCGGTGCAGTTGACGGCTTCAGGCCTGAAAAGGCCCACTGTGCAGCTCTTTCAGTCGGTTCTCTGGCGATTCGGCCCAAATACTACTACGAACATGCAGCCAAATAGGTCATGCCTACGCAGCAGATGAACTTCAAGCTATTTCAAGATTTGGAAACTAACACGTACACATGCTAGTTAACCCAGTTCAATGAGTTTGACTTGTTGAAGAACTTGTGTATGGTGACGAACTCAAGCGTTTGAACCGATTGACAATGTTTTTTGCGCGATCGGACGCTCGGTCGGCTGTCTTCCTGCCATGCTGATGCACCCGTTTGAATGATGAGATGTCTAAGCTGTCCGAACTGCCCAGTCAAATTGCTTGAAAAAGTTGCCAATTTTTTTCACCCTATTGTAAACGCCAATCTGCTTCATGCGACAGGTTAGACAACTCACGGTCTTCACCCAGGCCTAATGCTGAGACTGCATCGTTGTGGACTTGTGCAACTCGATGGATTTCCTAAAATTACTTCCCAATGTCATCTTCCGTTTGTGTGCAGAGACGGTTAGATAGGTACTATAGGCGTGCAGGCAAACACATAGCTACTGACTAAAGTTGCTCGCCTCATACGTCCATGGTGAATGTGTATATTGCGAAATGTAAGTAAACTTGATTTCCATGATTCAACCAGCTGCAACTGTGATTCTGTTCTTGAATAAGCTGGCGGCTGGCCGTGTATGAAATTATTTTCTTCAAGGTCAAGTTTTCGATTGTTGAATCTGAACCATTGAACCCGCCTAGTCACATTAGGCCCAAGCAAGGCCGAATAAGAAATGTCAAATTTAGCTAAGCAGAAAACATAATCATCTTACATATTCTGCTCCTCGAGGTTTTGTAATGAAACGGGGTATGCCAAGTATGCATACAGCTATCTCAATTATTTGCAAACAGCTCGATGTCTAGCAAAGCACGATGTGTTCCACAATCTCGCCTAATTATTCATTTCAGAGACAAGGTTCGGGACAAGTGAGTTGAAACAAATTTCCCTGAAGTGGCTCATAAGGATACACGAAAATCATGGCGTCTCTTGGATAAATCGATGTAGAACTGAGCAAGATCAACAAAACTCAAGAACATCTTTGGGCAAATTCGACATGGCCACGAAATGGCCAGCTTGATGAAGCCACTCGAATTGTGCTTCCGGCTCATGTTCCCCAGAACAAAACTGTATGCATGGTGCTTTAAGGGCCACGGCAAGGCGAAAATGTGGCGTAGGTTCAAAGGGGAATGTCTGGGTTTAGGGAGGCATCTCTTGACAGTAGGTTGGTTCTACGTCGCTGCAGGTCCTCATGCACTGACAAATATCACCAACACCGAACTGAACCCAAAAAGCAGCAACACACCGAATAAACTCGAAACACTCGAAAAGAAAAACGCAAACAAGCCGGATCTAAAACTTCCGATGAGCTGGGTTTCTTGTATGATTGACCCTCTTGCTTTGCCTTTTGGTTTCATCGTGTTGATTGCTTTTTCGAGTTGGTGTCTTCGGCTCTTCTTCCGGGTGCTGCGGCGCGCGCGCATTCAAACGAAGTCAAACCAGGCTCCATAGTTCTGCTAGCACTCCCTACACTCCTCATGGTTCTCTGACTCTGACTGTGCTTCCAGCGGTCTCTGCTGGCAGCCAATGCCCGATGCACTCTGTGGTGCCTCGCAGCGACGCCCAGGGCGACTCGCCGTCGAAGGAGGCCGAGCGCAGCGCCGGACTGAGACGAAGAGCCGTGGCCGGAGAGAGCTCAGGGCGCTTAGCACAGACGGCACCTCGAGGCCGAGCTGCTCGCATGGTCGCCTTGGCCAGCAAAGCTCATGACAGCGCCTGCGAAGCCTGCGAAGCCTGCGAAGGCGAAGCCTGCGAAGCCTGCGAAGCTCTCATTCCACACCAAGCAGTGCATAGCAGTGCCAAGCTCGCAACTCGTGTAGCGGTGCATCCCTGATCGCACCGAGAGCGGCCGCTCGCTGCTGGCGCAACAGTTTCAGTTACGGCATCAAATGCTTGGCAAACACCCTGCAGCAGGCTGGACATGGTCAAGTTTCTCGCACACATGTGTGCACACGAGCAATGCCTTCAAAGTGCAGAGTCTTGCCAGGCGTTGACATGAGTATCCATTGGCGTCTTGCTGATACACAAGGCATGACTTGTCAGGATGAGACGGAATCTCCGAATCGACGCTGCCTGGCCTCTCGGTCAGCTTCTGTCGAGGCGACCAAGGCGAGGGCCAGTCCTGATGCTGCCGCCAGCATGGTGATGGTAGCAGTAGTAGCAGTGGTAGTGGTAGTAGTAGGCGTGACCCCCCCTACCAACTACACTGGCTCAAAACCATCTTAAGAGCACATCCCTTTTACTCGGTATTTACAGCACTTTCGTCATGTACGATCATCATAAGAAGCCTCAAAATCGACTTGCCGAGTTTGCAACCTCGGCCTCTTGATTTTGGACTTGCTTCTGGGGGGGGTGGGCGGGTGGGGGGGGGGGGGATGATGACG